ACTTTTTTTTAATTATATTTCAGTTTAAAAAAAGGTTTCCATTTTCGAGCTTTCACAATGAATTTGTAATCGTTTAAATTTGCACTTCTTGCAGAATCGAAAAAAATAATCATTCCTGCGCGCAACGTTGAAAATATAAACGGTAGCAAACAACATAAAAATACAGTCTGCTAAATTTTCGATGCTGTTAAAAATTTTCCACATAGTTACGGTCTTTTAGCTTGAATGATAAAAACAAGACTGAGTGAGTATTACTGAATTTTCCTTTATGAGTACCTGAAGTTGACAAATGGCAAAGCGACAGAACACTCCATTTCCTTCCATAACCAACCACTATAGATTTAACGTTATTATACAAAGAGGCTATGCTTTCTTGATTTATGTATTCCAGGTCGTWGCTGTTTTTAAGTGAAGTGTACAGATGCTAAAAGAACACTTCTTTATCGAAAGCCAGCTACTGCACTTTAAATATGGATTGCTCGAATAAGTTCAAATAAAATTCAGAGCATTGCTTGTCTCTCATCGACAAACTTCGTTAATTATTTAGAAGGTAACTGCACGCAATTAAAAAAACAAATTTCCCTTTGACAGCTAGCTTAAAAGGCAGAATTTCACAAAAGTATATAAGAGAMATTGGCATTTTAAAGGTTTATTATACCTTATCCCATAGCCAAGTATACAGTCAATCCATTACCATTGTTCAGGTGTAAAGACATAAAGACAACAACAAAATTGTTTGGATAATAGTGTTTATAACTGTAGTGTATTGGATTCCCTTTGGAATATGTAAATACATGATGCCGCACTTTGGTTCAATATTTTATTCAGATAAGTAATATGTAACAAATGTTCTGTAAGCGTGAGGACTGTAACAATAACATTAAAAATTCTTATTTTTTTTCTTTATTCGAGTTTTTCGTTATTGGGAAATTCGTTATTTGGAAATTGCATTAGTGGCCATTGGCGACTCAGACCATCTTTATACTGGTACTTAATGGTCCATTTCATTTCATTAATTATTAGCGGGCTAGCTGTGCAAGCCAGCTATAGTTTTACCTTCGCACTCTGTCGGGTCGAMGTTTCYAGYCTCTCTCGAACCACAGGAAGCCATATCTATTAGTTTGCAGTCTCTCTCGAACTGAAAATTTTGTCAAGAATCCAAAATGGCGGGTACTTCGCCGATAACAGAGAAAAAAGTACTCAAAAACTATCAACAAGAAATACCAAAAGCTTTCTCATTGAAGAATTGAACTAGGATTTTGCATTTGTGAAGTTTCAAGCTTGCTAGTTATCATTTTAAGACGATTTTGCATCGAAAATAGTCTCGCCTTCCTCACCAGTCCAGCTTGATGATTATTCAGTACAGCTTCAAMATGAAATCAGCTCAAATACTGGCTTTTTCACCACATTTATAGACAGCAAAAGGTATTCTTCTGTTTAATTGACAATGTTTTTATTGTTTAAATTCAAAGAAATTGCTTTAATATCATCGGGTTTTTTTATTAGTTAGAAATGACAAAGTATACAAGTTTTGAAATTGAGCTTTGTTTTGCTTCAATTTTTAGATTTCTTTTGTACGAAAGAAAGGCTAATAAAAACAAAATTTAAAGAATGCACTCATGCCATCTAAAATGCATTGTTATGTAAATAATAATAGATGTGATATCGCTAACCAAGAAGTAAAGAGCTTCCATAAATATTTTTACAAAATACATTGCAAATCCCACTATAGCAAAAAGATTATGGTTGATAGTTGATATAGCTTATGATAAGATTATAGCAGACAGTGAAGGTTAACGATAAGAATTGAACTGCAAAGAAAACTAAGGTATTCATCGGCATATTTTACTTTCATATATAGTTACGTCATAGTCACAATATTCATTGGAGATACAATTTTTATCTTGTATTGTGAATCTTTTGCTAAGCTAGCCCGCATCACGCTTTACAAGCGTCTAGTTTCTTTCTTTTCGCTAACAATTTTGATTTGCATCGTCTAGTTGAACTTAAAACGTCTGAAATTTGGGACTCTTATTACACACGAGTCTAGAGATTTTGTATCCACAAATATTTTTATTGTATGGGATACATTTTTTTAAATCAAAAACCCGCATTGCAGCCGGTTGTAATTTTGGAGTTAAAGTGTTTGGATTTGAACGAGACATCATATCCTTGTAAGGTCATTATCTCTTCATGAACATCGAGTTTAGTTAGTCTGATCATGTGATGAGCCTAAAATCTCAATTATAATGACTGTTTATACAGCCTTGTACTTTGCTATCAATTGATGTAAAAAGACAAGATATACAACTATTTCAAAAAACGTTGTCGGGGAAAACGGCGAAGGGAGATTGCAAGACCGAAAGGGACTATGGTTACAGTGTTTTGCAGCCATTGAATTGTTTTATAATATTCATCATCGAGGAATTAAACAAACAAAAAAACAACAAAAACAAAAACAGCAAAACGAACGAACAAGAACAACGTAAGTAAATAGTTGTTATTTATTTATAATATTCATCATCGAGGAATTAAACAAGCAATACACAAACAACAACAACAAAAAACAGCAAAATAAACGAACAAAAAATAATTGCAAGTAAATAGTTCTTTCTTATTCATTTATTTCCAAACATTTTTCTAACGCTCCAAACATTCTAGATCCCTTAGTTTTGTAATCGTAGCATTTTAAGAAGATTTCATGCCTCAATTTCGCCAGGTTTTGGTCCTTTTTGGTCGCCTGAAGCTAAACAAACATATATTACGAACACACCAGCAATATAATCTAATAATTAACWATTAGACCTCGAGGTCGAGTGGACTACGAGCTAATAGCCCATGAGGCCGAGTCCAATTGTTTTAGTATAAACGTATAAACATACTAATCGGTCAAATAATGAAAACAAATTGAAATAATCTTAAAATAATTTATAATTTATTTATTTTGATTTTCCCGCGAGTGGTCTATCACAGATTAGACTATTAGTAGAGTAGCCAATCACAGCGCAGTATGAGTGATAGACCATTAATATGTTTATACTAATATGTAATTTCATTGTTCTTACCACTGCCTTGCTCTTGATCCTCGGGAGATGGGACATAGTCGAATTCACTTTCTCCTTTATCTGGAAATAATAATGATTGCTTTAGTGTCATTCTTTCGGTAATGCAAGTTTGCAAAAAGATTCTTCTATGATTCAGAAAAACTCCTGACCATAATTTTTTCCGAAAAAAAAACAGCTTTTCAACAGCGAAAAACATTACCAATAAACTGTTACTGTGTTTTGTTCATCCCGATGACGTATTCGCACCAGTCTCCCTTGACGTGCGGTCCTGATAGGAGATGGTGAGCTTTCAAAATGGGTTAAAATTCAGTATTACGTCAAATTTCCAATAATTTTTAAAATTTTTAAAAATTTTTTACGCCTATAACTCCAATTTCTAATTGGGGAAAAATCACACATTAGGAGCAATTTTTTATTGTCGTTTCCACTTACCATTGCATTTGTACATTTTTTTGGTCTGATCAATGTCACCTTGACTCAACCCATCCCTTTGTCCAATCTCAACATTTGCTTGCTTCGGTTGCAGTACAACTGCTCCAGGGGCATTGTTGCCTTGGAAACGAGAGTAGTGCATGATGCTAGCATAGTCGTAATCTTCGCCTCGAGAGTCAACGAAATCTTCGCTTGCTATTTCAAAGTTACTTCTAACGTCTGGTGAATCATAGAAAATAATATGAAGTCATGATCGATTGAAATCAAATTAATATAAATTCAGGTACGTTAAAGTGCACATGACACCATTAGAAATTCATTCTCATCTAGAAGAGAAAATGCTGCTAGACACATCTGTGAAGAAAAAATTTG